TTTCAGTAGAGAAAATTCTTGGATGCAAACAACAATTTTGTAATGATGAACTGGCAAAAATCCGGTTCTGTCTGGCCCGGTTTAACTTCTTGTCTGGTCCGGTCCGGCCGGACCGGTTCCAACTCTGCTACACCCGCATATCATGCTCATATTCTAGGATACGACTCAATTTGTTTTGGTCTTTTTAATGATAGCAATCGTACATTTTAGACATTCAGAAACTTTTTTCGACTGTTTCGTATGTATTTGTATGGAGACATCTTGTTAAGCTTGTATCTGTTAAATCCCATTCACCTTTCGTTAGTTGAGAAGATAAATAATTTGGTATTGTTTCTATTACACCAGCAGGTGTACAATATGATACTTTTTCTAACATACCTAAGTGGCAATTCCATATTTTTCGAGATTTGTTGCTAATATCATTTTTGAAGCATTCTAATTGACATTGAATTTATTACATAAATAATTTTTTCCAATAACTTCAATCGTTACTTGACCATTCAACTTCGGAGAAATCTTTTAAGTTTTTTTTGTCTATGATCTGCTGCCATGTTTTAAAATTCTTTCATCAATAAATAATCTTCAATTAGAAGACTTCTAGGTGCAGAAACTCATGCTGCTTGAATACTATAATCTGGTAACCAATGAAATTTCTGTTCAGATTCTTATTTATTTAAATAAATTAAATATTAATGTATTATTATATTTCTTTCCAATCTAATCACTTCCATTTTACCATATTCTGTCAACATAAAATACGGCCATGATTTTCTACTACTGAAAGATCTTGTTGAGGGTGTGAATGTGTGACTAGGATGGATGTCGGTTTTAAGGGACATACATGACAAGAAGACGCTACACCAACATCCGCACCCTCTACAAACGTCTAATAAACAAGAACTACTATTATTAGGCACACATCTTGAATCTTCCGCAGAATAATAGTCATCAACTGAATACTGTCTTCGGTGAATTGATTTTTGATCTTGTTTTCATTTCAAATTTGATCAAACAAAAATAAAAGTGAAAGCTTGAAATGAGTGCCTTTAAAAGAAGATAGAGTGAATTTTTATGCAAAAGAAGAGAGAAAAAAAGTTAGAGAGCTTGTGACAGAAAATATTTCGTCACTTTCATTTTTTCGTCGACTTGATTAATGTCTTTCGTGTAAACAAACGAGCTGATAGTGAATATTATGCTTTTACTTATTTACTTGAATTCACTTTTCTTCATGCCAGACTTCATTATTGACAATCTCGGAGTGAGGGTGGGTGACAGTGTGACAAGAAAGGTTGACAAGGAAGCTTCGCGAGCTGTTACCCTTAGGTATTAATGATATTTTGTTCATAGGAACTGTATAAGGTCCTGATAAAAATTCAGTAAGGATTTCGGTTTCTGTGATTTCCTTCAAAATGTATGCACGCTTTGATTTTGCTTCTATTATGTATGACATGCAGTACTAAAAAACTTTGTACTTCAATTAAAATAGATTCCTCTCATAATAAAAGACCATCCCATAGTAGAAGACCTTTTGCCAAAAAAGTTCACTTGACGTAATAGAAGAAATTCGGACAATTGCTCCTTTATTGAACAGTCATTTAATGATAAAAGAAACAACTGAAAACAGAATTGAGTGTGTGGGTCGCCTTTTTCGTACTTTCAATAATGCTTATGTACTTAACTTCCTACTATGCTCCATATATCTATTACTTTCTATGCAATCGTATGTTCGGCGTAAAATTTACTTCTACGGAGATAGAATTGTCTCAGAAAAAAGGTGGCAATGAGGAAGCAACCATCGATTATAAAATTTAAGTCGACAACACAATCGCCAAAATAGACGGTGATTAATCTGAATCTTCTCCTCAGTTTTTTATTGGTTCCGCAACCTTAACAATGGCACTCTTGGCTCTTCTCGAAGGATGTACACAAAAAATACCATGAGTAGAGTTATTAAGCAAATAGGTGTTTGTAATGGGATTATTGGAGTGTTGGGGACAGTCTTTGACTTCATGTTTTAAGTAAATAAGCTTTTTGATCGTCCTTGTCGGATCTGTCTCGTTCATATTGATGGTGGTTTCTCACCGACGATTAAAATACGGTTCTCAGTATTAGCTTATGCGGCCGCTGCGGATTGTCTATTTGTTGGCGTAGTAGCTTCCTGTCTAAACATGAAAGATCCAGATCGAAAAACCACAGAAGTTCCAAATAAGAATACTCTAAATGGTTCTGGCGATTCGTCTACTAAAGTACCTAGTTCGCGTAGCACATTAAACAGAGTGGCATCTGCATCCACTTGAACATTTAAACGAATACTTCCTTTTATTTTGTACTCATAAGCTTGAAGTGGTGTAGGTGTGAAGTATGACTATCAGTTAAGACACATGTTTCAAATCTGCCAAGAGACTGATCAAATAGAAACTAATTCTATATCACATAAAATTGCATGGTGTTAGTGGTTGGGGATTGACTGCGAGTAGTGCGTGAAGAATTGTGAACGTGGATTATGTGGAATTGAAATGTATAGAATTATCATAGAACTAAATGGTATTTCAATTTTATAAGAAAAGTAGGTATGAGTATAGCTGTGTGTGAATGAAGATTTGGGTGCGGCTGTAGTTGGAAATATGCGCATACATACGAATCTTTCGTTCAGATCCGTCCTAATACGTGTATTCTCGCCTACATACGCTTATGTACAAAGAAAGAAAATGTATTTCTTTGAACAGCAGAGAAAAGGGGTACAAATTAGCTAGACTTTCTTACAATTCTCCATGAGGACTCATTTTACGAGCATTTTTCTTCCTTTTCTTTCATATGGTTCGATATTTGATTTGAGAAAACCTATGCATACATAAGTAACAGTTTTAAACTGACGTATAGCGATAAATTTTAATTTGTTATCATTACAGTTACAAAACAGTCAAATTTTTTTACCTTATATATATTTTGAAGATCTACTATTCGTAGAATCTGTAACAGTGGTAACTCGAAGAAAATAATAAAACTATATGCATGCAAAAATGATTGCATGAATTTCATATTACATGAACAAAAGAAAAGTCACCACATGAATGCATTGATGTTTAAAAACTCGATTTTTTTGAGAGCGCAGCATTAGGGTGTGGGTGGGAATGTAGATTTTTTCTTTTTAGCGCACACCGGAACCCACAGACTTACACTCAGACCCTTAAGATAGAGCAAAGATAGCCTCACAATTTCACATGGAAACGAGAAAAATCATATTATATCAAGCTACCAAGAGAAAAAGTGCAATTGACTTTTACAGGAACTAGATACATAAAGTTTTTAATTTTGAAAGTTATTTTTAAACTTTATAGAACACGCAACGTTAAGCGTACACCGAATTTTTTCAGATTTTTTCGTTGAACTTGTTTCTAGATAAAGATATCTCACTTTTTCATATTAAATAGAGAAGTTATAAAAATTTTTCTTTTGTTGATTTCTGAAACCTCAAAGGATGTTCAATACATCTGTTGTTTTATATCGATCAATAGAGCAAAATATGCTCTGTGAAACTATGTCGTTTTCATTTTTGTTTTCAACCCATCTGTGTAAGGGAGAAACTTTTGCGTTATCAAAGACTATTCATTTTTATTATTTTCTCATCTTCGTGAAATCTTGAAAGTGCTGTTTTTCAAGTAAATGATTGAATTTTAGCTACGTTATAGAGTGTGAAAAGATGGATCCATTCATGTAAAATAATCCTCATTTGAAGATTAGCTAAGTTGTAAAATATATATAGAAACGTTACTAAGTATTCCTATATTCTGAATAAAACAGCGATACTATGACATCCCATGCATTATTTTCAGCGAGCTTGCTGCCAGTTGGGTGTGTATGAGTAAATGACAGATATATACGTACACTAACACACACATACTCTCTTTTCGATTAAATAGGAATGATATTCAATTGACCTAAGTTTTCTTGAATCTTTCTTTTTTAACATCATCCTATTATTAGTTTTCTTGTTTTTTGTCATTCTTTTTTATTGCACTCGTCTCATTTGCTTAGATATGTCATTATCAAAGTAAGCAAGAGGAGCAAAAGCATGTAGAATGTCAGGAAAAAAAAGAAAAGAAAGGATTGTTCATAAAACATTTGTTCACTTCAGTGTTTGATAAAGACAACGTCATTGTCAAAATGTCACTATAAAAATAAAGGAAAAGCAAAAACCTTCTAAGTGAATTGACCGATGACTTCCGTAATAGGAAATTAATACTTCTCAAATATGGCACAGAAAAATAAAGTAAAAATATGGACTATATCGTTATTTCTGGTCGATATATTATTTTTCTCTAAACAAATTGTTATTACTTCGATGGTCGTCTGCATTTTTTTCTAGAGAAAATTAAAGAAGTAGCGACGTTCCTACTCCCGGAAATGATGCTTACTTGACGACTTCATATTTCTAGCTGTATTAGATAGACACACTACGTACAAACATAGAAAAGAGAGAGAGAGAGAGTGAAGAATGAGAAGAAAACTGATAGTATTAAATCATTGTGTCGCTATTCAGGAAGTTCATAAATGTCATATCACTAAAATGATGATTTTATACGTTTTCATCAGAAGTATTTCATATTGTTGATTCATTTAAGAAGCATGAACGTCGTTGCATTGTTGTTATTACTCTTAGGCATTTTCATTAAATTCTTTTCGTTTATTTTTCGCTAAAGAGAAAATCTCAACATGCAACGATATTGACATCCCATTCAAATGATTCAGATTTGCGAGTCTTTGAATTTCAGATTTTGGTGTCGCTTTGAAATTCAATTGTTGGATGTCGTTTGGATAAAGCTATGACACCTTTGTCACGGAATCTCAAAACTCTGAAATACAACATATTTGAATTTTATAGTTGCTTGAAAACGTTCTTTTTATTGTCTGTACCATCTTGTTTTTACTACCTCCATTATTTTCTAGAGTTTCCGTCACATTAATTCATTTAGTTTTGTATTTTTTGTAGAGTACTCAGCATGTTTATTGCCGTACAGATAACGATGGCAGCAATACTTCTTGTTGATCCCGTGTTATTGTATACCAAGGTGACTACGGATTATGATTTATATGGAATCAAGGTTGCTATGAATGATCGTATAATGGTTTCAGCCGACAACCTTTATTTAGTTTGGTACATACTTCCGATTTCAGCAAATAGCTCATTTATATGTTTCACGTACTACAATGAGACAACATGTGACTTTGTCTATAGTATTGTTGTTCCAATGGTTGATAGTACATTATTTGTCTACAATTGTATTGATTATCAAGGGAACAATCTCATCGGCTTCTTTGCTAGTAATACTACGTGCGATTTTTTGTTAGTAAATGAACAAATTATATCGAACTATTCAACACAAGACAATTTTGTCATTACTATAGATGGAAATGGTACAGGTGTTTATGGCTTTGCAGACGATTTTATATTTTTTTATGAATTACAAGCACCATTTAAATTGACTGTATGGCCAAATATTTTCAATATTTCACCTCGAGCGATCGACATTGGTTCAAGTATGCAATATGGTGTTTTGGTTGGTTACTGTCAATCGACACCATCGACTGCAATAGAATGTGGTTCTATATTAGCCTTGAATAACTCTTTGTCGATTCCAGACCGTGTGAATGATATTTCGATCAGAAGTAACTTGAACTTTAACTGGTCTGATCCACGTATAAATTTTCTTGTCGCACAGAGTCGAGCTTATTCGGCAGATACAACGATGTCAGTGAGCATTGCTTGGCGTACTCGACAAATACTGATCGGAATTCAATCTCTCAATATTGTTCTATTGTACGCATTCGACAATGTATCTCAACCGATAAGCACTCGTCAAAATGAAATCGGATTTAGTGGATTTGGAAAGAGTGTCGCATGGTTAGATAATCAAGGTCAAAAGGCGGTCATTCTTGCCAATAGGTATGTGTATTTAACGAAACAATGGATATCGTCATCCGTACATATCTATGATGTGGCATCCGATGGTTTCACAGATGAGACACAACCGGTTCTTATTTTTCCTAATAGTGAACAAACCATGTTCGAAGTCATGAATGTCGTATTGATTCAACTCACTTGCTCCAAATCTGGCACTTTGGCTATTTTTGATATTTTAGGAAATACAGCTGCCTTAATTTCGGCACCTGCAGGTATGTATCCATACACTGGAGTACCGTACTTTACGTCATCATTTGTTCCTTGCATATCTGGCACTCATCGAAATTATTCTGGGCTCGAGCTATGTACACCATGCCCTAATGGTACATTCTCAAACAATTGTGAGCAATGTGCAAGAAATGACTCATTCTGTCCATATGGAAGTGTCCAAGATCTATCTTATTCAACTTTTGAATCAATCGAACAAAATCAAGAATATCCTGAATCGCCCGAAACTACCGTATTCGATGATTTACTTATGCAGAACATGTTCAGTTTGAATACAAAATCCCTCCATTGTATACGTGTATCACCAATGACATGGGTTCTTGTAGTTCTTACGTTGGGAATTACAGCAGCTATGGTAGTAGTAGTTGCCGAGGCTCGTTGTCCGCACACACATAATATACAAAGTCGCTTCAAGCAAGTATTTCAAAAAGTTGATCTTGTCGGTGAAGGAGAGGTGAGTAAGTTTTAGAATTGCAAACTGTTGTCGTAGTGATATTTTCATTGGAGGAAAGTTACTTGAAAAGTGAAAACAATTGAATTTCATATTGAATGAATAATACATAGAAATGTTAGATGATGCAAATTTCTGTAAAACATGATGGAGTTACTATAATTGTAGATGAACGTCTATGGTAATTCTTTCACGGTTCATGCTAGGATAAAAAATAAGGGAAATCAAGATGCCTGTTTCCATTTATGATGTCAAAGATGGAAGCGAAGGTTTCTCGATATATACTCCAACACTACTAATCATCACTCGTAGAACCTATTTGTAATTTTAATTTCTTTTTTCGCTGTATAGTTTTGGACCGGTGGTCTGGTCTCCATTGGTATCATTGTTATTGTTGTTTCGGCCTATGCATTTTCTAATGCTTTCTTACATCAATATCCAATAGAAAGCATCACTAGTGAGCAATCTTTTGCATGCGATGTTACTCTGCGCAATGCAAAGTTTCGTACAACAATGCAAAAGATGCCAGACTCTGGTCGTTCAAAGAGAGAAAACCAAGGCGTGTTCGACCTACTCAACTCGCAACCATTTGATCTCAAGATTGATCTTATTCAAACTGCATTCACATGTCAGGATTCACTGGTTCTTTACCGTCTAGTTGACTATGCGCTTCTTCCAATACCAGTTTCACAATGTAAAACAAGCTATAACGGAAGTATTCTCTCATTGATTATTCCGCTTCCATCTCATGACATAAGTGCTCTACTTACATTGCCAGGATTACGAACAGTTGGGGCTATTCGTGTCGGACTATTCGGACCATCGGCAGTCAGTAAAGATGGCAGGTAAGACGGAGTGGGATGCACTCAATGGACAGTTTTAATATTTGTCACAATACAATATACGTGAAGTGTCTAATAAGACCTTAATAGTGTTGAACTTATTGCAAATATAGAAATGAGAGTGATGTAGCACTTTTTCGTTGCTTTGAAACTTGTGCTATCGATGCATGCCAGAAATTCATTCTTCACATTGAGCAAGGTTTCACGATATCAGTTAGTATGGATGCTGGTTTTATTATTTGAGCTCGGCAGGAGATTGAATTGATGCTACCTTTTTATTAATCTGAATAGTTCTGGGATAGTATTCTGATTATTTTGACAAGGTACACACTTATGGAAATGAACTTTACGTCAGCTTTCGTTCCTTCATCACTCGAGCAAGTTCTGGCGCCTTCAACTGTCTTCAATCTTCAACTAACTCCAATTGTCAAATCAAACGGCCTCGTTATCTGCCGATGGGACGGTAACATTTAGTGCGATATGGTCATCATCGTTCGATGTCAAAACTGACGAACTATTTACTACTGAAACTCGGTATACATTCTTTCAGCGAACACAAACAAATGTAACTGTTAGTGTTGAAAAGACTGTCTTTTATGTAAGCAACGTACAAGAACCGATAGCTCGGCAAACAGAAATTATATTTCGTACTCTTTTGTTTACCATTGTTGTCTTGGAAGTTTTCGGCTTATTATTTCTCATTATAAAACTACTGGTCATTCCTCTGTCTCGAACAGTTATTTCTCGTATGCAACAATATTTTCTATCGAAAAAACGCAATAATGTCGATGTAGTCAACAATTTTCCGGTGCCTGCTGGTAATCAAACATAATTCAATTCTGTACAAGCAATGTCACGATGTTGAAAATTTTCACAGAAAACAGTCAGAAATCCATTCCGTTGTCCAGTTCGACTATTACTAATAATTGCCAATTACAGTGATACATTTGTTTCAGCTTTGCTATTTCCAATGAATGCTTTTTGTCTTGTTCTTTTTTTTGCTCTTGTGGCTTTTCAATATCATTCCATGCAACACTAAAAATAAATTTCACTTCCTATTTCAATTCCAATACACGTTAGTGGGTGGGTATGAGTTTGCGTGAGTGAAAATTAGTGTGTGTATCAACGTACTTCTCTCCTTTACTCACTCCAACATGGCTCAGGTGCGTCATGTTCGGCCGTAAACCAGTGTATACTAACCAAACATAGCACATAATTGTGATCGTTCACGATAGCCATTTACATCAGTACTAAATGATGATTTACGACATATTATAGGAATTGTATACAGCACCCGTAAAATGAATACGCCAGCCACTTCCAATGATTGTTTACTATGATCTTAGATAATGTGTTACAACGTATTACGGCTATTGTAAACAGTGACCATAACATATCGCCCTAAACGGCTAGCGTTATAACACGAAGCGTGCGCACATTAGCAGTATCAACTGTCACAAGACAAAGTAAACGCTATTTGTTATACAGTGTCGGCTCATAGTGATCGTAAATTATCATTTAAGGCGCTTTGTTGCTATAGTTAACAATCACTGTAAACAATCTTTGTGAACAATTTGCGTAGCATTGCAGTGACTACATATTTTCATCGCGTAATGTCAAAAGGCACTCTCTGTATCTAATATGACATGTACGATAGATAATCATATTGATCTATTGTAGCTCCTGATAAAAGCTAGTTTGTGTTATTGCATTTATTTAATAGATTATGAAAATCATCTTCTATTGATTAATCAAATTCGTTACCAAGCAACGAATGTTGTATTTGCATAACGTCCATGAAGACCAGAGAACATCGTATGCGATTTTCGAATCTTTCTTATAGAATGTGGTTATGGATGTAGGTCAGCAAAAGACAAACACCCACACCCACCCTCACACATCCGTATTAATGAAAAGTGCAGTACAATCTCATGAAATAAACCGTAGCATAATGGAATCAACTTTTTGGAATAGTAGTTGATTTGTCCAACGTAAAAAATACTTTATTAGAAAAATTTAGACTACTTGATGAAAATTAAAAGCGAATCGAATAATCAGTTTCTGTGAACTATCAACGTTATCAGAAGACAAACAGACATTCATCTATGACTAAGTATGATCAAAACACAGATACAAAGATGTTATGTGGAAGTGTATGAAACAGTCATCCGGTCACTATACACCATAAATTTATCAAAACATTCAGATTCTGATTTTTATCCATTTAGTCGATTAACCTGAGTAAAAAAGCATTTTGAAAGACCATCTATGATTTATCTGTCTTTCATAATTCATACTGATATGGAAAAGTCATTAACATATTTCACTTTAGCAACTAAGAAAAAATATAAATTCATCTGGAGACTTTGACATGAAAAACGATATTGGGGTGTGGGTGGGTGTGGGTGTGGGTGTGGGTGGGTGTGGGTGTGGGTGTGTGGGCGTGGGGGTGAGGGGGGATATGAATGTGGAAAAGAACAACACCCATGCCCATACGCCCCCACCCACANGTATGTATCCATACACTGGAGTACCGTACTTTACGTCATCATTTGTTCCTTGCATATCTAGCACTCATCGAAATTATTCTGGGCTCGAGCTATGTACACCATGCCCTAATGGTACATTCTCAAACAATGGTGAGCAATGTGCAAGAAATGACTCATTCTGTCCATATGGAAGTGTCCAAGATCTATCTTATTCAACTTTTGAATCAATCGAACAAAATCAAGAATATCCTGAATCTCCCGAAACTACCGTATTTGATGATTTACTCATGCAGAACATGTTCAGTTTGAACGCACAATCCCCACATTGTATTCGCGTATCACCAATGACATGGGTTCTTGTAGTTTTCATGTTGGGAATTATAGTAGCTATTACAGCAGTAGTTGCCGAGGCTTATTGTCCACGCACACATAAGATACAAAGTCGATTGAAGCAACTATTTCAAAAAGTTGATCTTGTCGGTGAAGGAGAGGTGAGTAAATTTTAGAATTGCAAACTATTGTCGTAATGATATTTCCATTAGAAGAATGGTTACTTGAAAAGTGAAAACAATTGAGTTTTATGTTGAATGAATAATACATACTAATGCTAGATGATGAAAATTACTGTAGAGCACGATGGAGTTACTATAATTGTAGATGAACGCCTAAGGTAATTCTTTCACGATTCATACTAGGATAAAAAATGAGGGAAGTCAAGATGCCTGTTTCTATTTATGATGTCAAAGATGAAAGCGAGAGTTTCTCAATACATACACCAACACTATTAATCATCACTCGTAGAACCTATCTGTAATTTTAATTTCTTTTTTCACTGTGTAGTTTTGGATCGGTGGTCTGGTCTCCATTGGTATCATTGTTATTGTTGTTTCAGCCTATGCGTTTTCTAATGCTTTCTTACATCAATATCCAATAGAGAGCATCACTAGTGAGCAATCTTTTGCATGCGATGCTACTCTGCGCAATGCAAAGTTTCGTACAACAATGCAAAAGATGCCAGGCTCTCTTCGTTCAAAGAGACAAAATCAAGGCGTGTTCGATCTACTCAACTCGCAACCATTTGATCTCAAGATTGATCTTATTCAAACAGCATTCACATGTCAGGATTCACTGGTTGTTTACCGTCTAGTCGACTATGCGCTTCTTCCAATACCACTTTCACAATGTAAAACAAGCTATAATGGAAGCATTCTCTCATTGACTATTCCGCTTCCATCTCATGACATAAGTGCTCTACTTACATTGCCAGGATTACGAACAGTTGGGGCTATTCGTATCGGACTATTCGGACCATCGGCAGTCAGTAAGGATGGCAGGTAAGGCCGAATGAGATGTACTCAATGAATAGAATATCACTGTTAATTGATAGTTTTAATATTTGTCAAAATACAATATACGTGAAGTGTCTAATAAGACCTTAATAATATTGAACTTATTGAAAATATAGAAATGAGAGTGATGTAGTACTTTTTCGTTGCTTTGAAACTTGTGCTATCGATGAATATCAGAAATTCATTCTTCACATTGAACAACGTTTCACGATATCGGTTAATATGGATGCTGGTTTTGTTATTTGAGTTCGACAGGAGATTGAATCGTTGCTACCTTTTTATTAATCTAAATAGTTATGTAATAGTATTCTGATTATTTTGACAAGGTACACACTTTTGGAAATGAACTTTACGCCAGCTTTTGTTCCTTCATCACTCGATCAAGTTCTTGCACCTTCAACTCTCTTCAATCTTCAACTAACTCCAATTGTAAATCAAACGGCTTCGTTATCTGTCGATGGAAAGGTAACATTTAGTGCGATATGGTCATCATCGTTCGACGTCAAAACTGACGAACTATTTACTACTGAAACTCGATATACATTCTTTCAACGAACACAAACAAATATAACTATCACTGTTGAAAAGACTGTCTTTTATGTAAGCAACATACAAGAACCGATAGCTCGGCAAACTGAAATTATATTTCACACTCTTTTATTTACCATCGTTGTCTTAGAAGTTTTCGGCTTATTATTTCTCATTATGAAATTACTGATCATTCCTCTATCTCGAATAGCTATTTCTCGTATGCGACAATATTTTCTATCGAAAAAACGCAATACTGTCGATGTAGTCAACAATTTGCCGGCGCCTGCTGGTAATCAAACTGATAATTCAATTCTGTAGAAGCAATGTCACGATGTTGAAAATTTTCACAGAAAACAGTTAGAAATCCGTTCTGTTGTCCAACTCGACCATTACTAATAATTGCTAGTTACAGTGATATATTTATTTCAGCTTTGCTATATCCACTGAATGCTTCTTATCTTGTTCTCTTATTATTACTCTTGCACCTTTTCAATATCATTCGATGCAACAATAAAAATATATTTCTCCTATTTCAATTCCAATACACGTTAGTGGGTGGATTTGAGCTTGTGTGAGTTAAAACTAATGTGTGTATCTACGCACTTCTTTCCTTTACTTACTCCAGCAAGGCTTAGGTCAGTGATGTTCAGCCGTAAACGAGTGTATACAAACCAAACATAGCGAATATGGTGATCATTCATGGTAGCCATTTGCAGCAGTACTAATTGATGATTTACGACATATTACAAGAATCGTATGCAGTACCCGTAAAAAGTTATCGTAGCAATGCGATGACTACATCATTTAGTCGGAAAACACTAAAAAAAACGAATATGCCGGCCACTTCCAATGGTTTTTTACTATGATCTTAGACAATGATGTTGCAACGTATTACGGCTATTGTAAACAGTGGTCATAACATATCGTCCTAAATGGCTAGCGTTATAAAACGAAGTGTGCGCACATTAACAGTATTAACTGCCATAGGACAAAGTAAACGCTATTTGTTATACAGTACCGGCTCATAGTGATAGTAAATTATCATTTAAAGGGCTTTGTTGCTATAGTTAACAATGACTGTAAACAATATTTGGGAACAATTTGAGTAGCATTGCAGTGACTACATATTTTCATCGTATAATGTCAAAAGGTACTCTCTGTATCTAATATGACTTGTGCGACAGATAATCATAATGATCTATTGTAGCTCCTGAAAAAAAACTAGTTTGTGTTATTGCATTTATTTAATACAGTATGAAAACATCTTCTATTGATTAATCAAATTCGTTACCAAGCAACGAATGTTGCATTTGCATAATGTCTATGAAGACCAGAGAACATCGTATGCGATTTTCTCATCTTTCTTGTAGAATGTGGTTGTAAATGTGAATCAGCAAAAGACAGACACCCAAATCCACCCTCACACACCCGTATCAATGAAAAGTGCAACACAATCGCATGAAATAAGCCGTAGTATAATGGAATAAACGTTTTGATATAATAGTCGATTTGTCCAACGTAAAAAAATACTTTATTAGAAAAATGTAGATTACCTGATGAAAATTCAAATTGAATTCAATAATCAGCTCCTGCGAACTATCAATGTTATCAGAAGATAAGCAGACATTCATCTATGGCTAAATATGATGAAAACAGAGATAAAAAATGTTATGTCGAAGTTCTTTAAGTACATACGGAATTCGTATGCTGTGTGGAAGTGTATGAAACAGTCATCTGGTCACTATACGCCATAAACTTATCAAAACATTCAGGCACTGATTTTCATCCATTTAGTCGATTTACATGGGTAAAAAAAACACTTGGAAAGATCATCTATGATTTATCTGCCATCCATAATTCATACTGATATCGAAAAAGTCATTAGCATATTTCACTTTAGCAACCAAGAAAAATATAAATTCATATGAAGACTTTAACATGAAAACCGATATTGCTATGATTTCTATTTTGTGGGGCTTTATTATTTTTATACATGTAGTGTTTTATAAATTCTTAATCAATTTCAGTCTTGTTTTTTATTTATTTATTAAGTAACATCTATATTATTATATGAAGTTTATTGGATTCAAGTCTCATAGTTACTAATAATGTACACTGTTGATGATTTTCTATGCGTCATTATTTCTTAAACTTGTTGAAATTAATTCCGAGAGTAAAATTGCTTTTAAAAGAAAATCATAGTTCTCAAATTCTTCGCATCACTTAACAAATTTAAAGACATTTTAATTCAGTAAAATGATGAAACTTACGAAATTACGAACAATAAGATAAAGTACCTCTCCCATATTTTATGATTGTTTTCTTCTCTTTTTTACAATGAATGAATTTCGAATAACTTTCTTACTTAGGAAATTATTTTCAATGTAAAATGTCTTGAACAGCATGCAACCTACTGATTTATTTCAACAGAAGCTTCCAACATATGAATTTGGTTAGGGAAAGCGGGATAGTTTTAATTATTTTCTTTCTGTTTCGCTTCACTCATTCAATCTTTAAGAAAATATGCTTTTCTTCAGCTGATGTTTGAAGAAAAGAAAGTATGATACCTTAATCATCACCGATATTTGCGCCATAGAAGTAAAAACTGGTGTTTTTTTTTTCATATCGGCTTTTATCTACAACTTGAGTGACCTTTCAATGAATAATATTTTGTTTATTTCGAAAACACATCATAGTGCTGCAAATAGAGGAATTAACGTTAGATTTTTATTTATCAATTGCACAAGAAATAGACAAATAAAGGGATATTACCTATAGATCATTATTAATAATTAAAGTGAATATGAATTCAACCAAACGAAAGTGTACCTCAAACCATCTATTAGATGCAGAAACAAACTAAACCAGAATAAGCGACATATTCATATTTTAAAATTTATTCTCTTTATACACTCAATACTATATAGTTTACCAATAACATATTTTGAGAATTAATCAAACGAAATGATCTATGAAATTTTTGAATACCTTAACCCTTTGGGTCCGGGCGACGCACATATGCGTCCTGGGATTTTACGCACTGAATACCTTTAAAAAACATGGTTGTTTTAGTTATTTAGTAGTAAAAATTGTATGAATATTTGTATTTAGGATACCTGTGCGGTTAAAGTTATCTATAATTACTGATAATTATGGGTTCTCCCTTAATAGTTCAGGTAATCAGCATATTATTTAATGAATTCGCAGATGGATCGGGTTCGTAACATTTCTCGAGAAAGAACCGTCGCTCTCAAAAAGATATCTTGTACTACAAACATCGTTCAAGCATCATGAGAAGTGTACGAAATATTCTGATCGACGGATCGCATTTGATGAGTAATAGGGAGTGTATTTTTCCTCACAAAAGGTCATCAAGGTCATTTATCTCCAACTCATGTGTTCTTTTTTTCTTTGTCCTTCTGTTTGGTATAATGACGTCATGATTTCTCTATTTTGTTTTCTGTCATATGTTCTTTCGAGAACGTTCGAGTAGACTTTATCCTCTATGTGATTGATATATATATATATAGCTATTTTTTGTTGTGATTCAAACGAAAACGTGATTTATCTCGATATATTTTATATTTCTTCGACATTTATTATTTCCGAAGGTTTCGCCCAACCAAAAATATAACAACTAAATTATCGAACATATAATGGATTCAGAATCTAGCACTGAGTCTGACGACTATTCATATGACGAAAGTTGTAATGAAGATGAAGGTAATAGTGATTTGGAAGAGGAATTCATAGATGCATTTGAAAAAATATCTGCTACATCGAGAAACTGAAGAAGAGGAAGTTTCAAACCTCGTCTATTTAGTTTTGATTCAAATGGTTGTGGATTATCTTCAACCATGATAAATCTTACTCTTGAAACACCACTTGATTTCTTTGAACTATTTTTCGATCCGAAACTACTTGAAATGATTGTTGACGAAACAAATCGTTTTCGCAGAAGTTCTGCACACATAGGCCAGAGTCATGCAGCTCCATGGATCGATGCAACAACTAACGAAATGTATACATTTTTAGCTACAGTTATGTTGATGCCACATTTGAAAAAAAACCGTATTCGTGATTATTGGTCAACAGATCATCTCATCGCAACACCTATATTTGCTGAACTTTTCACCAGAGATCGATTTAGAGCTTTACTTAGTAACCTTCATTTTCGTGATAACCAATACCAAACACCTGAAGATAGTCTATATAAAATCCGACCAATTATTGATGAATTAAAAAAAGGTTTTTCTGCTGTTTGAGTCCGTATAAAAACCTTTGTATTGATGAAACTTTAGCTTTGTGGAAGGGTCGTTTACATTTCAAACAGTATATACCATCAAAACGTAATAAATTTGGAATTAAACTGTTTGTACTTTGTGACTGCAAAACAGGTTTTATACTTGATTTCATAGTTTATTGTGGTTCTAAAACAGAACTCAATTATCAGAAAGACCTTGGTGTAACTGGATCTATAGTTACGACTTTACTAGAACGCTTCTTGAATAAAGGTCATTCATTATTTGTCGACAATTATTATTCCAGCCCCGCTTTATTTGAATATCTTCATCAATATAAAACAGGAGCGTGTGGAACTGTCAAAAAGAACCGAGCTGGTTTACCGACCTTTGAAGAAGTAGAGGGACCTGGCGGGCAAGTTTTTTATCATACTGACAATTTACTTGCATTTCAATGGAAAGACAAACATGATGTCACAATGTTATCCACACTGCATGAACCAATTATGGTTCCAACAGGAAAAGTTCACTTTGTAACGAAGCAGGAGAAACTAAAACCTCTTTGTGTTAAAGAATATAACGAGAACAGAGGTTTGGTTGATAAATATGACATGCAAATAAGCTTTTCAGAGTGCATCCGTCGGTCAGAAAAATGGTACAAAAAGTTCTTCTTTCATTTGGTGGATCTTACAATTTATAATGCATATGTTTTATATAAACTAAAAAAAAATGTCAATCTTCGTTTAGCTGAGTATCAACTTGCACTAATTCGAGAGATTATCGGAAAATATGGTAGTCAGGTGCGAACTTCAATTGGTCGACCACCTTCTGAAAATCCACTTCGACTTACAGCAAGACATTTTCCTTCGCGCATTGCATCAACAATTACTCAAGCAACACGNAATAGATACCCTTTCTAGTACAGTGGTTAATACGTCTGCCCGGTAAGCAGGAGGTGCATGGTTCGATTCCATGCGAAGGGGGATTCTTTTTCTCCGTTCTGTCGTCATTCGAAGATAAGAGACATAACAATGCAAGTAGACAAAATCAAGCTATGTTTGACATACTCAACTTACAATCGTTCGATGTCAAGATTGATCTTATTCAAACAGCATTCACTTGTTGAGACTCGTTTGATGTTTACCGTCTCGTCAACTACACTCTTCTTCCAATACCAATGTCAAAGTGGGAAACAAGCTATAATGGAAGTATTCTATCGTAGATTATTCCACTTCCATCTCATGATATTAGTGTTCAACTCACATTGCCAGGGTTACGAACAATCGGAGCTATTCGTGTCGGACTATTTGAACCATCGGCAGTCAGTAAAGACAGCAGGTATGGTTGAGTAAGATGTCACGATATAATACACGTGAAGGTTTTATGACAAGACCTTAGCGGTGGTCAATTTATTCAAAATATAAAAATGAGAATGATGTGATTGCTGTTCCAATTTGACAGAGGATTAGCTCGATATTACTCTTTTTAAGAATTTGAGCAGTTCCGTAATAATATTCTGATTATTTTGATAAGGTACACACTTGCGGAACTCAACGTCGCGCCAGCATTCATTCCTTCATTATTCAACCAAGTTCTCGCGCCGTCAACTCTCTTCAATCTTCAACTAACTCCAACTATCAATCAAACGGCTCCATTGTCTACCGATGGAGTATCAACATTCAGCGCGATATGGTCATCATCGTCCAATGTTAAAACGGATGAACTATTTGCTAGTGAAATTCGATATCCATTCTTTCAACGGACGCAAACAAATTTTACTGTTACTATTGAAAAGACTGTCTTTTATGTAAGCAACGTACAAGAGCTGATTGCTCGACAAACAGAAATTGTATTTCATACTCTTCTATTTACTACTGTTGTCTTGGAAGTTTTCGGCTTATTATTTCTCAACATAAAATTACTGATCATTCCTGTGTCTCGAATCATTATTTCTCGTGTACGACAATGTTTTCTATTGAAAAAACAGAAACGTCGGTAAAGTCAACAATTTGCCTATGGTTCTTGTTAATGAAACTGATGATTCAATGTCGGACAAGCAGTCTGACATTGTTGAAAAGCCTTATTCAAAACAGTCACCAATTCATACCATAGTGCAGTCTGATTATGACTAGTAACTGCCAAATAGACAGACAAAATTGTTTCAGCTTTGATGTACTTATTCAACGCTTTTTGTCTTGTCCTCGTGTTATTGCTTTTCAATGTTGTTCCATGAAAAAGTAACAAACTGCTTCAACTTCTTTTTCAATTTCCAACTGGTGTGAGTGTTGTATTCTCATTCAGCTGTTCTTTTTTCGTTATAGCAAGAGAGATCAAAAAGCAAATGTTGACTTCAATTGCGATGCCAAATTAAAAAGGCACTCAAATTCACTTGAAATGATTTATTTTGTAGGACGTGGGTGTAAATTGATCCACAACCACATCGACGTTATTATGTGGTTCGTCCTATATCGACTAAATTAGTTCAATTTGTTTTAACATGTTTTTCATGGATATTATAAAGCTATCTCACTTCTGCAGCTCTTTCTCGATTCCATGTATTTTCAATATTAACAGTTGCAGTATGTTGTACTATCGAGAACCCGTGCACATTGCATGGCTGATTTCTTCTTTAACGACTTATTCCAGACGTTCGAATTTGGGGTGTGGGTGTGGATCTCTTTTCTTCTATCATACCCACATCCACACCCGTCTGCTCTTCGAAATATGCCCTACTAAACGAAAGAATATCGTCGTGACGTGAACAATTGAGTGAAACAATAAACGATAGAAAAGAACCTATGCTTATTAAGATGGGACCGTGCTTTGACAGAATAATCTTAATATTCTCTTATCCTTTTATGAGCTAAAATATATTTATCAAATGAAAAGAATAGGTTATAAATAATGATAAGAATATGCGGATAAATAATAATAACACTGTCAATCATACATGTCAAGATAATGCAACTACACAGATCAATCTCTCGGTTTATTAAATAATTTATACTATTACGTTTTGATTAAAGCCACTACATATGTTGCAAATAAAATCGAATGATATGTAATAGTCAAACAGTCAAATTGAAACGCATGTATTGCAATCCTAAAACTCATAAGATAATAGAGTGTGGGTGCGGGTGGGTAGATGTTGGTACAGTGTTTCCCTCTACAATAAGGGTGTGGATGTGGGGTGTGGGTGTGGGGTGTGGGTGTGGGTGGGTGTGGGTGTGGGTGTGGGTGTGGGTGGGTGTGGGTGTGGATGCAGGTATGGATGGGTAAGTGTGATTATGGGTATGGATGGGTGTGTGTGTAATAAGAAACACAATCTTACACACCCAGAACAACAGCCACACTAAAACACCAAACCCGCCCACACCCACCATATCCTTGCTTTTTTATTTGAGATTTGATTAATTTCAACCTATCATCCCCATTACCTTTCATACAAGCTACGTCATCGTTTTCTACGACTATCTACAAGATGTACTTGACGTCTGTGAACGTTCAGTCTGGCTACGAACCGAACTTATAAGTCCTCAAGACCTATCATAATGCAGTATCCATAATTCTGATCGATATCGGTATTGATATTGATATTAGTGTTTCTTGGTTCTTTCATAAACTGCACCGAATAAACCTATGTTGTCTTCTAGCAAGAGAGAAGAACCTCATATGAAGGTCAATAGGAAGATTTAATTGTGAGTGTGTCATTGTATGTATTTTATTCATCCGTATTGACATTCATATATTGTTCAATTCTGTTGCGTATTATGAAAGAAGGGATTTGGGCTTCAATCAATATGATTGTGGTGCTGATATTAGGTACAAAATAGTCGAAATCATACGAAAAGAAGCCAAAATTCAACCTTTCAACGGTACGCAACAGAATTTGAAAATGAATGCACCATTGAATAGAAAAATTCTTTACCTACAAACCTAGATGTATCTGGTCATTTAGTCTTAGCCACATGGTCGTTTTTACTATAATCTTACTGTTATGTTCATTGAAAACAATATTTTGAATTTTATTGTATTCAGCGAAAAAATGGGTCACAATTGAAAGGCACCTTCAAACTTAGGATTTTCAAAACATAATCGAAGTCTACTTGACTTCTCTCTCTTGCAGAAGATTCATATCATTCTAAATCGATACATTCGATAAATACAAGGCTAACAATCCAGAATAAAAAACTATTTTTGTATGACTCAATTAAAAATATTTATTTATGAAAAAACAACTGAAAACTTCTAATAAATTTTTCAAAATTTTTAAGTTAGATTTATTTAGCCAGAAAAATTTACTTCATATGATCTGTTCATGTTTCATTACATTAAAGTATCTTTTTCTTTTTCATTAGATCCCTTCTGATTGAAAATACCGAACTCTAAACATTTCAAGTGTTAGTTTAAATCATTTTTATTTTCAACGAAAAAATCGAATTGAAACATTATGCTTGTTATTCATAACTAATCACCGTAATTTCCAATCTAATACCAAATGTGTAAGAGCATTTCATTGTCTGCAATATTTAAAGATGTTGAGCTGTTGAAAGCTCTAAATCTGTATTTTTTTCTCTTTATTTTATGAGTGATTAAACTTAATTTCTATTTGATCCAGTTTTATGATTTTAAAAACAAAAGACAACTTCTGATTACAACTTAATATGAAAAAAATCCATGAAAACAAATCTTCGTGGATATTTAGTTGTTAATTGAAAAATTCTTATAAAATAAAATCATAAGATTTTCAATTATTTAATCATTATAGATTTGAAAAGTTTAAGTTCAAATCAAAACTTACATCTTTCATAGCATATAAAAGTCATTCAAATTTTTGAACAAAAATATATTTACGTTGAACAGGTATTGAAATAACAAGAGTATGCATTCTATAGTGTCCTCTATCTTGACATTTCAATTTTAGATATGAATCTAAAAAAATAAATCGTATTTATAATAAAATATATATTATTTTAATGAAGCACTGCAGATTATGAGATTTCTGTAACGTATCTCTACGTTGCCCTATGAAGTTTTTTACAAATCTGCTCTGGATTATTTTTTGAAGCAAAGAAGCATTGCAGATATCTATCAGTCTTAAACATTGATTTAATTTAAAATACTTTCAAGCATAAAGCAAACAAAAATAATATGAAGTTTCGAAATAAAAATCATTGAATGAACAGAATTAGCTGTAAGCAATTCTAATTAACGTTTTCTCATGGATGAATAAATTAACTTTATTAAATCTATTTTTATTGATATACAATTTTAGACAATGTGTCAACAATATTTCATTAGTAAAATTAATCACAAATTATCAGGTTATATTTTAAATATCAATATAGATAAAGATACATAATTTTACAACGACGAAAAACAAAAATTCAAACTTTATTTATAATTGAAATAGTGCTTCGAATGAACAATTAAAATACTAAATAGCAGGCTGAAAATAAAATCTATAAGTTTTTTTTAGTTAAATTTCACAATAGTATATTTTAATGCAGTGATGAAAAATACAAAAGAAATTCTATTATCTTATATTCACTCCTTTGTTTATCCTGTTACTCTTGTGAAACACGATCTAAAAGGAGTGTTGAAGTGTTTAGGGGTAGAAATTTGGACCCACACCCCCACCCCCCCCCCGCCCCCCCCCCACCCACCCAGCGCG